AGAGACAGCATGAGTCGGGGAGGGGCAGAGAGAGGGGAGGAGAGAGAATCCCAAACAGGCTCTGCACTGTCAGCATAGAGCCTGATAAGGGGCTTGAACCCACAAAACTGTGAGATCATGACCTAAGCCAAAACCAAGAGTTGGGCGCTCAACCGACTGAGCCACTCGGGTGCCCCTCAATAAGGTATATTATTAAAATTAATTGCATTTATTTCTTTTCCCTTTTTAATATGAATTTTAAGAAATCTAAAATTATATATGTGGCTTGCAGCATATTGTGATTGACACAGCCGATCTAAAGGGTGACTAGAGGTTACCTCAAGCTGGGTGGGACCAAAGTGGCAGTGGAGGGGAGGGGATGCAGGGTGAGGGTTCTGGGTAGGGTACAGTGTGTGCAGGGGTCCTGAAGCAAGAAAGAACATGGCATGCTCAAGGAAATAAGAGAAAACCAAAGCCTTGCAAGTCATGTTCAGGATTTTGGACTTTATCCTAAGACCAACAGGAAGTGATTGAGGATTTTAAATAGGGTGCTCACTTTTCAGGAAGTTTGCAGTTAATAAATGAAGGCAAGAGAGCTACATCTGAATATATCAAGACTCTCAAAGTCAAAGCTTCTCCCCTCCCCAAAAGATGGTGGGCATGGAGGCATTTGGTCCGGATTGAAAGGGAGCAGGACCCTGCCCGTCACCTACCCGTGCCCCAGGACTTTAGGCCCAAACACCCCCGAGTCAAGGGAGAAGCAGACACCTCGAAGAGGTAGTTTTGCTTTCAGTTCACTTTCAGCATGGTTAAAGCTCAGAGCTGGCCGAAGCATTCCAGGAAGAGTCCAAAGTTGAGTGGAAGTTTGATTACAGAGCTGAGGCTCTTCAGGGCACTGGCCCAGGCTTTGGTGAAGAAGGGTCAGGGACAAGGAGCCCAGCACATGTGGGGGTTAGAGGGTGTTGGACAAAGCAGAGGAAAGCTGGGATTGGAGCCTGGGGTACTGACCTTCTCCTGGGGTATGGTGGCCTCTTCATTCATCTGTGGCCTGGAGATTTCCCTGTAAGTCATGGTGCATATGTTAGCAGACTCAAACTGGCCTCCAGACACATTTCATTTAGTTCATGTTTCTAAAATGTATTTAAATTAGTCACCAGTATTAATATCAGATTTCACATAAAACTGTGCATTTCTGGGGCACCTGGGTGGCTCAGTTGGTTGGGTGTTCGACTCTTGATTTTGGCTCAGGTCATGATCCCAGGGTTGTGGGATTGAACTCCATGTCAGGCTCTGCACTGAGTGTGGAGCCTGCTTAAGATTCTTCCCCCACCGCCCCTCTCTCTCTCCCTCTCCCCCTCTGTCCCTCCCCTGCTCACAACCCCCCCCCTCTCTTTCTCACTACAGTTGTCTTTAATGTGCATTTCTGGTGTTTTTGAAAATTGGAAGATCCAGGAACCCCACAGAGACATGGAGCAGCCAAGTAGTAGCTACTCCTTTTATTTTTATATGAACTTTTAGGAGCTGAAATGACCATTTAAAAAAAATTTTTTTAATGTTTATTTATTTTTGAGAGAGAGACAGACAGACAGAGTGCTATAAGGGGAGGAGGAGAGAGAAAGGGGGAGACACAGAATCCGAAACAGGCTCCAGGCTCCGAGCTATCAGCACAGAGCCTGACGTGGGGCTTGAACTCATGAGCCGTGAGATCATGACCTGAGCTGAAGTCAGACACTTCACTGACTGAGCCACCCAGGCACCCCCTGAAATGACCATTTTTATGTGTTTTTTTTTTAATTTTTTTTTTAACATTTATTTATTTTTGAGACAGAGACAGAGCATGAACGGGGGAGGGGCAGAGAGAGAGGGAGACACAGAATCGGAAGCATGCTCCTGGCTCTGAGCCATCAGCCCAGAGCCCGACGCGGGGCTCGAATTCACGGACCGTGAGATCGTGACCTGAGCCGAAGTCGGACGCCCAACCGACTGAGCCACCCAGGCGCCCCCATTTTTATGTTTTTTAAAGAAGACATTTATTTACCCTAAAGACAAAACTGAGTCCCTAGGTTCTCTGTGGTCTGACTCGAAGTATTGCAGTCTCTCCAGTGTTTGCTTTGAGGAGTCCCTTCTTCTGTGTATTCTCCAGAAAGGTTGTAAGAATGGGACCCTTAGTTCAGTGAGACCAAGTTATACAAAAGCTCTGTCCATCTGCACAAGAGCCACGTCCATCAGAGAAGCACATATGCTCTCTACAGTTTTCCATGGTTCCCATCATGCCTGTGGCTCAGTGTGTGTGTTTGTGTGTTTGTTGGTAAACACTTGGTATACCAGCTCCCATGATGATTAAAATCTTAAACTTTAAACCTCAGCAGCTCCCCTGTAAATATTCAGTAGTTAATTAAATGGGAAGTCAGTTGATAGCAGCAAGGAGGAAAGAAGGAAGTGACTTTATTTACCCAAGATAGATGCACTAATCTGTACTTTGTCCTATGTTCACCCCTGTACACCAGAGGGAGGGAGGGGTGTAGTCTTTGTGGCTGTGGTACTGTTTCTCTGCGCTCTCTCTCTCTCTCTCTCTCTCTATATATATATATATGTATTGGGGGTGGGGGGAACAGAAATTGTTTTATTTCTTAAACAGAGTAAGCAAATATAGCAGATTAAAATACTGCAAGCTTGGTGGTAAGTGCCTGAATGTTCATGATGTTATTGCCATATATATTTTTTGTTCTCTTGGTATAGTTCATAATCAAAGGCATTGGAGAAGTGCTTTTGCCTACAGAATTTGTCCATCCTACCCTTTTTTAAAATATATATTTTAGAGGGAGAGAGAGAGAGAGTATGAGCAGGGGAGAAGGGCAGAGGTAGAGAGAGAGCATGAACAGGGGAGAGGAGCAGAGGGGGAGAGAGAGAGAGGGAAGGAGAGAGAATCTTAAGCAGGCTCCACACTCAGCACAGAGCCCAATGTGGGGCTTGATGCAGGGCTCAATCCTGTGACCCTGGGATCATGACCTGAGCCGAAATCAAGAATCAGAGGCTCAACTGATTGAACCTCCCAGGCACCCCATCATACCCTTATTCATTTAAAGGGAAAACAGCTTTATTAGCATAAGGAGGCTTCTTGCTTGACACGACAAAGTGAGGGTTGGGGTGGAGGAACACTTGATAGCCTCTCTTTTCTCCATTCCCTTCTCTACCAGCATCAAAAAAACAAAACAATAAATGTTACAGGAGGGTGGGTCTAGTTTTTGATCTGACAGAAGTTTCTAGTACTTGGTGAATTGGGGCTCTTTGAAGAAACAATATAAAAATGTCTTTCTTTTGCAAATTAAACACACACACATACACACACGCCCACACATTCATTATTTGGTCTCTCCCCGTGCCTTAGACGGGGTTTGTTCAAGTGAAGGATCCTGAAATTTGAGCTCATTAGCTTCGTGATTATTCTGCTTCTGGGCACCAGTGATCACACAGCAAAACACTGCCCAGATGTGTGTCATCCCATTCTCTGTTCTTCCGCCAACCTCATGCCCCTCTGGGCTGAGGGTAGAATCATCCCTCTTCCTCCAGAAATTCTCAGCTGTCTGATGTACCTTCGCCCGAGCCCAGGCTCTTCCAGATGCTTCCTGTTTCACATGCACTAAAGCTTCAAACCTGATGCTTGACCAGAAAGGGGTGTCATAAACCTGACGACCCTGGTCTTTCAGCTACTTGCAGATTACCTCAATCTGCTTCTTCCCTCAGGGCCCCATCAGTTTACCTTCTCCTGCAGTGAGATGAAGCCTTGTTTTAAAGGGTTTTTTTTTCCCCTTCAGAATCTCTGGAAATTACTAAAGAAAGGAAGAAACTAGATACCTAGATTCCAGTTAACTTTGTCACTGACTGTTATGTAACTGTGGGTGAATCACGGATTAAGTGGGCCAGAAAATCTCCCATTTCATGGAAGTTGCAAGAACGGCAGGAGACCAGGCCCCGATGTTCATATCATTTTTAGTCCCCAGTGTGGAAAACCCTGGGGTGGAAGTGGAGAGCCTGGGCATGCAAGGCGGGCAGTGTTTGTCGGCATACATATGTCCACTGCAAGGAGGCTGAGGGCAGGCTGATGCAGCCGGAACAGCAGATTCTCCAGGGGACGGAGTGGGCCCAGCAGACCTTCGGGCCAGCAGCCTAACTTAGGGAATTCAGAAACACTCTAAGGTTGTCTGTCCCACTTCACCAGATTCTTCTCCCGCTGAGATGCGGCTGGTGTGTGTAGGGCAGCCTAAGATTTGGGCAGGAGGGGGCGGGGCCTCCTTATCAGCGTGCTTCCTGTCACTTCTTCAGACCTGCTCCTGCTAATCTCTTTCTACAGGCAGCATCTCTTCTACAGCTGCTTGCATTTGATAGCTTTTTTGCATCAGGATTTATGCCTGCCGAGCGTTGTTTTGGGGGCAGGGGAGAGATTATTTAGGTGAGTACCGTATTCAGTGTTAATGTTGTTTTAAATCACTTTTGGTGTCGTTTGAACGTTGGACCATAGATTTTCTTATATGTAGTGTTGCCTGTGGCATTGAAGAGCGAGTTGCCACCCATTAGTGATTTACATACCAAGCAGATGTGGTGGTTCATTGAATTAACATGTTTAACTTCTATAATAAGGTGACACTGGTAAATATTCTTTTTCCACGGGGGGAAAAACAAAGTGAGAAGGATGCCTTCAACCTGGAGTCAGCTGCTAGGAGCTGGGAGTTCCCAGCTACTAGTCATACTTTCAGACATCTATAACTCATTCTAGTAAATCCTCTCTTCTGTAAGCACAGACTGCCTTTTTATCTGGTGGAAACGCAGCATGCCATTAGAATGACATGTCTTGTCATTTTACATCATACAATTAAGATATTGTCTAGCTGTCAGAAAATTCAAATCGACTAGGCTCCCTGTAATTAATTATCTGTAGAATGTGCCATAGTGTATATGTTGTAAAGTTCAGGTAGTCGGTTGAATGAAGACCATAACATACTTTTTGTTTCTTCTCTTTCTAGATGTCTTGCTGTCATTGAACCCACTTGAAAGTGCTAGGCGAGCTCAGCCATCAGTATGTCCAAGTACAAACTGATTATGTTAAGACATGGAGAGGGCGCTTGGAATAAAGAGAATCGGTTTTGTAGCTGGGTGGATCAGAAACTTAACAGTGAAGGAATGGAGGAAGCTCGGAACTGTGGGAAGCAACTCAAAGCACTAAACTTTGAGTTTGATCTCGTATTCACGTCCATCCTTAATCGGTCCATCCACACAGCCTGGCTGATCCTGGAAGAGCTGGGGCAGGAATGGGTTCCGGTGGAAAGCTCGTGGCGTCTGAACGAACGTCACTATGGAGCTCTGATCGGTCTCAACAGGGAGCAGATGGCTTTGAATCACGGTGAAGAACAAGTGAGGCTCTGGAGGAGAAGTTACAATGTGACCCCACCACCCATTGACGAATCTCACCCTTACTACCATGAAATCTACAGTGACCGGAGGTATAAAGTGTGCGATGTACCTGTCGATCAGCTGCCACGATCTGAAAGCTTAAAGGATGTTCTGGAGAGACTCCTACCCTTTTGGAATGAAAGGATTGCTCCTGAAGTCTTAAGTGGCAAAACCATTCTGATATCTGCTCATGGAAATAGCAGTAGGGCTCTCCTGAAACATCTGGAAGGTACCATCCTTATGCTACTACTTATTAGAGGTTGCTAAATGTTATGCTTGGACCTTAATCTAGAAAGGACAGGGTTTCTGAGCACAATTTACATAATGGACTTTCTTGCCCTATTCCCTTTTGTCATTTCAGTCTTTTTTTTTTTTTAATTATATGAAATTTATTGTCAAATTAGTTTCCATACTCATTTCAGTCTTTTAAGAATCATTTTGTTCTATTAAATCAAAAACGCTATGCCTTTCACATTCATACTATATAAAGCAATGATTCTAAAACTTTAGCAAGCATCAGATTTCCCTGGAGGGAGACTTTGGTCTACTCCAGATTGCTGGCCCCATCCTTGAAGTTTCTGAATTTGTAGGCCCCGGGGGTATGGTTGGAGAATTTGCCCTTCTAAGGTGTTTTCAGGTGATGTGGTTACTGCTGCTTGGGGGTTTTCCACTTTGAGAACTATTGATCTAAAGGATAATAAGGTTTTTGCTGTAGCAAGGTAAAAGCAGGCTAGGGAGGGAATTAATTTCTATAGAGATGGTATGCAAAGTCAATTTATTTATTTGAGTCGTTCCAGATAAACAAAATTATCTAGACTTCAGCTTTGCCCATGCTCTTCCAACTCTAAACAATTATTCCTGCGTTGCAGATCTGTGTTTCTTGAACAATTCCTTTGTTCCAGCTCTTTTTTTCCAGACCAGGCCTACTCATTGATTGGGAGAAAGTTAGGGGGAAGGTAAATAAAAGGATTGCCTGTTGGAGATAATCAGTGGGCTCAATTTTATTTTAACCACTTCATGTTGTGTTCTAAACATATTCTGAAATGTACAATATTGTTATCTTCCTCTTAACTGATGTAAACTAGGAACCCCTGAGGACTCAGGCTCACCACTTTGGGGCATCAGCGACTGCACTGTGACACAGGGGGTTCTTCCTTCCCCTTTCTCCCTTCACTAAGCAATCCCAGGCATTTGTGCTTTTTGAGTGATCTGCTCCCTCGTCCTTTGTCCTGACAGCACCAGCATTAGTTAGCCCCTGATATTAGAATGCATTTCTCTAACATTCCTTGCCCATTCTGCTTTACTTTTCTCTATGAGGCTGTGAAAAATGAAGAGGTTGACATTGTATGTGAAATAAGTGAAAATAGGTTATTGGTAACCAAACAAAGTGATCTTTATGAGATTTTATTGTAAACTTTTTAGCATGTGCTTTTGCCCCTGATTTTTATAACATGGCCAAAAGCCAAATCATTACTCGAATACTTGCATCCATTAGTTGTGCAGAGATCTAAACTCTACAGACTTTATTGGCTATTAAAAATGTTATTGGCTAGACATGGCGCTCACCCTGTTTGTGTATATATCTTATTTACTCAACTACATAAAGGCTTCTATTCTTTTTCTTTCAGAATAGTCAGGTATTTGATTAAGTGATAAATAACTTCATCATTATTGGACTACAGTACTTTATTGTTTGAAGAAGAGTTGAGCCTTCTCTTAGGACAACAACAAACTGAAATTCAGAATTTCGAAGTTTCTGCCAAAAGGTGTATTCTGTTCCACCACTCCAATTCCCTTGTTCCAGAGACGAGACTTCGATCTCTCTGTGGCCAAGCTCCCTTCCCTAAAGAAGATGCCATCATCTGCTTCAGGAACCTCTTTTCTCCCCTGTCTTAACTAGGAAACCCTCCCGTTAAAAAATGATTTCTTGCTATTTAATACCATTTATTCTTCAACTGTCTTTAGGTTTAGATGTCTTTAAGATTATTCTGCATCCCCAGCCACAGCCCATTCTAGATACTCCCTTCTATTAGTGCATCGAGGATTTCCCTATTTGTTACTGTTGTTTTTTGAAGGGAATAGGAAGGTTTAGCCAATGGTGAAGAAGACTGTCACCCTGGTCAGAGTAGAGGGAGAATTACCTGTGGACGGCAAGGTTACCCATAGAAAGCTTACTTTCTGTATTTGAGGGAGGTTTTGAAACCATTAATAATTTACCGAAAAACAATCATTTGGTATAGCTGCTGTGGAAAACAATCCGTCAGCTTCTCTATAGATTAGACCTGCGGTTACCATACGATCCCACCAAATCTATTGCTAGGTATTTACCTGTATTCATTTCCTAGCGCTACTGTAACGAAGTACCAATAACTGCAAGGCTTAAAACAACAGATACTAATTTTCCTCACAGTTCCCGGGGCTGCAAGTCCTAAATTAAAGTGTTGCCCGGGTCATATTCTCTCTATCCTTTCTTGCGTCTTCTAGCTTCTTGGGCTTGTTGGCAATCTTTGGTGTTCCCTGGTTTGTAGGTGCATCCGTACAGACCTGTCTTCACTAGGTGTTTTCCCTGTGTGTCTCTGTTTCTTGTCCAGATTTCCCCTTTACATAAGAATACACATAATATTAGAGTAGGATGAAAGATATCATTTTAACTTGACTACCTCTATAAAGACCCTGTTTCCAAATAAGGTCACATTCTGAGGTTAGGACTTCAACGTATCTTTTTTGGAGGCATAATAGTTCAACCCATAGCAATACTTAAGAGAGATGAAAACCTATGTCCAAATGAAAACATGTACACAAACCTTCATAGTAGTAGTATTCATAAGAGCCAAAACACAGAGAAGCATCCCAAATGTGTGTCACCTAGTGACTAGATACATTAAATTTGGTATCCATACAATATAATATGATTCAGCAATGAAACAGAATGAAATACTCTTATGTGCTACAGTGTGGATGAACTTTAAAATCATCATTACCTGAAAGAAGGGAGTCACAAAGGAATATTTATTGTGCAATTCTACTTAAATGAAATGTCCAGAATGGCCACATCTTTACAGACAGAAAATAGATTATGTGTTTCCTGGGCCTGGGGTAGAGGTGGAAGGGTGTGGAATGAACAGTGGCTGCCGTTAGGTACAGAGTTTCTTGTTGGGGTGGTGAAACGTGCTAAAGTTGATTGTGATGATGGTCGCACGAGTCTGAATATACTAAAAGCCGTGGGATAAATGGATAAATTGTATGATATGTGAATTACCAAGTTAAAGCTGCAAAAATAGTTTAATCAATGGGATTGAAAGATTAAAGGATGTGGCATTGGCCTAGAGAAAAATATTGGAGGGCAAATATGGGAAGCAGTGTCAAAGTAGACATGTATGGATGTGGAGTAAAGAATAAGGAAAAATAAAATAAACTACAGCTTTGGTCACTAGAGCAGAAATGGATTTATAGGGGTTGCTGAGAAATTAGTAGGCATTAGTCCTCAGGCTTTATTTAAGCTTTCTTCTGGAGGTCTTTTTTTTTTTTTTTTAAGTTAGATGTATAATGCTAAATGACTTTTCAGAGCTTAACACAACTGAAGCAACCTTAAATTATAATTCCTATCCCTCTCCCTATCTATAGGCCTTATACAAAATGTTGTTATTTGGAAGATAATTGATTTAAAACAGCAGTTTTCATGCTGGAAGAGGCAAATGGTATGAGATTTGAGAAGGAAATACGTGAAAGTAGAAAAGGCATAAAGTTGGCTGATGTCTGCAGCAGAGGACAGGGGAGGTGTAGATGAGGGAGACAGGAAGTGGAAATGGGAGGGTTGGTGACCATGGCAGATGGCAGACATTCAGGGGGAAAAAATGGCAGAAAATCCAGAATATGCCATTAGGCACAAGCCATAGAGTGGGGAAGCAAAAGCAGTGGATGTGAAGATTGGGATCTGTCCGTAGGAAGACAGAAGGCTGGTATGTAAGTTTGGCTCACCCACCCCGGGCAGAACAACTTGGTTCCTTTTGGCCTATGGTACCCCCTGGTGGTGCCGTTGTTAAGACTCATGGAGCTCTTTGGTGTCGCTGTGACTCCCTTTAGAATGACCTCCACGCCTAACATGGAAGAAATTATTTTAGATTTTAGAATCACTCCATAAATTAGTTATCATGTCTTATTTTAGGAGTTCCCTAAATACCAATCTCCACTAATGGATTTCTCTTACTATATATTGAAAAATAAGATCCATGTGTTCGATGTCACAGCTCTAAGAATTAAGCATAGATGACTTTGCCAAGATCCGAAGGAACAGTGTATGTTATTTCTTCCACATAATTTCTGTTAATGAGATTTTAGCTTTTTAAAAATTTATTCTGGATGTATATGTTTACCAGAATAGGAATACCAACATTAGTCTTACCTCACACATCTGACTTTCAGGAACTCAAGTTATAGGGCTTTATGTGGTATTTGATAAATTCTCAGCCTAAAAGAAAATATTCCTTTGAATTTGGATGCTAACTTAAAAAAAAATATTTTTTTGACGTTTATTCATTTTTGAGAGACAGAGACAGAGTGTGAGTGGAGGAGGGGGAGAGAGAGAGGGAGACACAGAATCCAAAGCACGCTTCAGGCCCTGAGCTGTCAGCACAGAGCCCGATGTGGGGCTCGAACCCCTGGACCGCAAGATCATGACCTGAGCCGAAGTCAGATGCTTAACCTACTGAGCCACCCAGGGGCCCCTGGATGCTAACTTTTTAAGATTCCAGAAATTAAGTGAATCTTACTTACTTTAGGGGGAAATACAGGTATTTATCCTATAGGAAGGACCACTGGCCAATTTATTTGTGTGTGTGTGTATGTTCATTGTGTTAAAAAATATCATAAAATTTACCATTTTAATTGCCAGTTTATTCTTACTGTAAAGTTACATGACTGTATCACCCCCATTTTCTGGTTAATACCTGTTGTTCCAGTGCAATTATTAATAGCATCTCCTTTCACTTTCATAAGTGCCCTGCTTGAATGATAAATTATGTGGTCACCTTACCATAAAGGTGTTAGCCTTTGCTAGTATTAAGAATGAATCCCTGAAATAGGTGTGACCAGATTCCATATTTCCTGTAAACACAAAAGTTGCTAAATTCTTTGCATTGATTACAAAAGTAAAGATGTTTGTGGTTGTAGATTCATCTGATTCCTAGTCATGCTTTCTAGATATGTTTATATAAAATTCTCTCCTATTAA